ACCAGCTTGACTCTAAATTGACCGTCGCCTGCGAGGAGCTGTATGGTTAGAAAGCGAAAGGGAAAGCAAAAGACCTTTTTGTATACACCTTGAAAGTACTTGAGCACTATCCCATCTTTATTTACACATTCCCCGCACCTCAATCTATCGGAAATGTTTACGTTGATTTCATTTTGGAAAATATCAAAGTTACCAGCGATACGACCTGGGCAAATGGTGTGCGATTTTGTTTGTTTGTCTGTTGTTTAACGCCGAACTCAGCATTATTCCAGCGGTCTGTAAATAGTCGAGTCTGGACCAGGCAATCCAGTGTTGAGCATCATGAGCATCGATCAACGCAGTTGGGGTACGATGACATGCATCAACCAAGTCAATGAGCCTAGCCATCCAATCCTGTTCGTCGTCTCCTACGACAAGCACAGTCGCCTTTCACGGCAAGCATGGGTTGCTACAAACCAATTCTAAGCCGGATCTTCACGGGTACAGATGGTATGAGAACACTGAATGGTCCTCCCGGTGCTCGCAGAGAAAGGAACGATTCCTAATCATGTGCATGTATTTTTGAATCGCTCTCAAATAGTGATGATGCCAGGCAGAGACCATATACCGATATACATGTATGTGCCGGGTTATCGCGAACATGTCAGCGTATCCTAACCCACGGGTGCCACTCGTCACAAAACAGACAAGTCCATGGGGCACCTGACTAAAACACGAGAACATATGGCACAAGTTACAAAATTCGAAAGCGAGGTCTGCATATTTGCCATGTTTTCCCCGAATCTTGTCAATCACATTAGTGTCAAAAGGGACAGAAAATTCAGTGATATAAATGATTTCATTGATTTATCAAAAAGGACAAGATCAGGTTTGTTGGCCTGAGGCTGTATACGGGCCTAATCCAAAGAATTTTGTATTTATCATTTCCCATGACGCCCTCTAATTATTCTGGGTCGTACCATGGATGGACCTCTGTGTGAAAACCACAAGCTATGCGAAGACGGTGGGAAAGGGATCGAGCCACACTATCATGTCGCTTAATACTGTGTTTGTGCCCAGGCCGGGCATCCACTGAGAATTGGTTGGACAGTATCGTTAAATTCATTGCATAATCTACATTTCATATTTACATTTTGATGCAAAATCATTAAATGACGGTTTCAAGTGGTAAGTGACTGGTCTTGAACCTTCTGTTTCACTTTTCAGGCCATCCGACTTCATCCAGGCGAAGGATTATTATTATTATTATTATTATTATTATTATTATTATTAATAATGTTTAAATATACTGTAAGCGGTCAATAGCTTTTCTCGGGTTAAAGTGCTTAATTTTTATGAAATGATGAACCAAGCGGTTATGAAGAGAAAGGTGCTTTGCCTCAAAGTAACCCACCGCACATGTAGGTGAAGATGTTAATTTCAGCAACGGTGAATAAACAAGTATACCCCTGATTTATAACCCGTGGAACCTTAAATGTTTTCGCACTTCCTTAGTTTTACAGTAATTTACGAAGCAGATGACCTCGCTTGAGGATTTCAATGACAGCACTTCTCCATCCAAAAGGAGATTTAGGATTTTTCTCAGCTTCTTTATGACGTCAGAACGAAAGGGGATTTTCTTGTAAAAACACGATAAATTTCAATTTGCCTGTCGGGGGACAATCGCATTTCATTAATGTTACGGACAGACGCGAATAAATCCAAATGAGTGATCTTATTTGTAGGTGGGAATTTGATCAAATCACACGTGGTCATTCCCTAAAACGAATGGAAATCGATGTTTTGCTCCGAAATTAATATAAAGTTTTATTTCATGATAATTGAAGCATTAAACCACAACTCAAAGAGGACCCGAGAATGTAATTGAATAAAAGCCCAAAGGAAAAAGAATGTGGATGTTCTCCTATAAATCACAATATAGAGAATGAAAACTTTAGCTGGGAGCACTGTAAAGAAATCCCAAAGGATTTCCACTGAATGATTTATACAGAACGACGCAACATTTACTCTTAAAAGACTAGTAAGTTTTTCAGAAGGTGGGCCGTATTTTTGACAGGATTATGATTGGTTCAATCTTTTCGTGAAATTGCTTTTTGAAAATTACACTACCGTGTAAAGAGATGTGTGAACTATCTGTAGCAGCTGAAACTAACATATTATTGTTGCTAGTCCGTCTGTCATATCACTGTCGCTAGTCAGTCGATCATATTATTGTTACCAGTCAATCTGTTATATCACAGATTCTAGTCCGTCTATCATATAATTGTTGCTAGTCAGTCGCTTTTATCACTGTTGCTAGTCCATTTCTTATATCACGGTTGCTAGTCAGTCTATCATATGTCCCTAGCTAGTCAATCTCTTATATCACAGTTGATAGTCAGTTTACCATATCACTGTTGCTAGTCAATCTCTTATAACACATTTTGTAGTCATTCTAACATATATATGACTCTTCCTGGTCCATCTATCACGTCACTGTTGCTAGTCAGTCTATCATATGACTGTTGCTAGTCAGTCTATCATGTCACTGTTACTAGTCAATCTCTTATATCACAGTTGCTAGTCATTCTTTCCTATTAGCGTTGCTAGTCAATCACTTGGCCATTTTGCTAGTCAATCTCTTATATTACTGTTGCTAGCCAATCTCTTATACGACTGTTGCTAGTCAATATCTTATATCACAGTTGCTAGTCAGTTTAGTTTAGTTTCTAGTCTTTGTATCATATCACCGTTGCTAGTCAATCTATATTTTTATCACCGTTACTGGTCAGTCTCTTAGATCTCTGTTGCAAGTCAATCTCATACATCACTGTTGCTTGTCTAAGTATGATATTACAATTACTAGTCAATCCAAAATTGTATCACCGTTGCCAAACGATATCTTATATTGCAATCTACACACCAGTTGGGAAGTTGCTGGTCAAGCTATATGCACAGTAGATAGTCAATCTCTCATATCAAGTTGCTAGTCAATCTATTGTGGCATTGCTGCTAGTCAATCTCTGATATCACTGTTGCAAGTCAATCTCACACACATGTATTGCTAGTCAATATATGATATCATTGTAGCTGGTTAATCTCATGTTTAAAGAAGCTAGTCATTCTCTCACACGTCCTTTGCCGGTCAGTCTTTTATACATCTTTAGCTAGCAATCTCTTATAGCTAGACCGTGGTACTTGTTGTTACCCTGTCTGGCGCTCGGCATTAAAGGGCTTAAACAAGGACTGGTCGGCTCGGAGTCAGTATACTGTGTCTGAGTGGGGTATCCATGTTAAACTGCGGCATGATATCTCAATGTGCCTGCACCGGCATCAGTCCGGACTAGTACAAGCAGCCACACACACACATACACGTTCATGCACGTCGCTATATCAGCGCAATAATCTTGGACGCGACGTTAAACCCAATTTCACCTCACCTCACCTATTGCTGGACTGTCACTGTAGCATGTAAATCTTTCATAGATCTGTTGCTAATCAATCACTCTTGCGAGTCAATATCGAATACATAGTAGTAGTCAAATCTTATAGATCTGATGACAGTCAATCTCAGGTATCACTGTTGCCTTAGCCAATATGCGACATATCCGTTGTTGGTCACTCTCTGATACCTTTCTAGCTAGTAAATCTCTGGCATGTTGCTGGTCAACTGCTGCTAGTCAATATCTCCTGACACTGTTGTAAGTGACTCTCCTTTCGATACATTACTTGTCAATCTCTTAATTTTTTGTTGCTAGTCAAACTCTGATAACGTAACCCTGTTGCAAACAAATGTCTTGTATCACCGATGCGTGTCAGTCTCTGACATGAACGTTACTAATCAACATCTTATATCACCGCCGTCATATAGCTGGAATATTGCTGAGTGTGGCGTTAAACAACAAACAAACCAAACCAATATCTTATATCATTGCTGCTGATCACTCGCTGATATCCTTGTTAATAAAACATCTCTTATATCACTGATGTTTGTCAATCTCTGATTTTCACGTTGCTAATAATCTCATATAGCACTTTATGCTTGTTTCTTGGCACAGTCTGTCATCAGTTTTAACTGTGTATCTCTAGGCTTAGTATTGCATGTCATTCTGTTATGTTACTGTCTTATTAATTTAAAAAACATTGACAAAAACATTTCCATAATCATAGGATATCTCTGCTAAAAACGTGTCCATTGTGCGATTGCTTAATATCGTTAGCATATGTTTATTATCGAGTCTGGGTTTTTCTGGCGTTGGCGTTTTATGTATTAAGTAAACTACGGTTATAACGAACTCAAAGGGACCACTAGTTCTAGTTCGTTATTACCGTAGTTCGTTATAGGCATATGTACAGCATACAAAAACAAACCAGTTCGTTATATCCGTCAGTTGGTTATAAGCGAGTTCGTTATAAACGTATTATGAATCTCAAATAGTAAATGATACGAGGTATCCTAGCCTCTATTCATGTTACTGTTTAAGACATTTATTATAAAGTTCCAATAACCTATGTTAACGTTGCAAGAAATTCCGTTGCAATATCTTATGTTATTTCATGTCAACGACCTGCATCACTTCGGGCTTTCCTCCCACATTAAGCTGACACGCCGTGATATAACTGGAATACTGTTAAAAGCGGCGTTAAACCCAACTCACTCACTCACTCATGTCAAACGCTCATGTGACTGTTGAAGGTCAATAGCTAAAGGTTTTGCAGGTCTTTTCTGACCATAATTAATCTATATCGTGATTTTATTCTGTATAATGTTCAATGTTTTTGTATTATAACTTTCGAAATGTGAGTTGCAGCGGATGAAATGTGATTGCTTTCGTGTCATACAGTCCTCCATACAGAGCCTGAAGATGTGACTGTTGCCTGTTCAGGATTTATTTCGTGTCACTCTGTAAACAATGTTAAATATCACCGTGATTGATATTGATGACTCTGATCGGGAGACTAACTGCCCATGCGTGACACAATAACGATCTGGACATGAAAGGAAAACAGATATCAACATGTCATGCCAATTGGTTTATTTACCAATTTAATTGCTCTTGTTGGTTTATTTACTTGCGCCCTTTCTACTACTTCAAAGTATCGTTTGCAAACAACTCATCAATCGGGTTGTATTATTAACAAGGAGGTAATAGCTATGTATGCTAACAATATTTACACATAGTGATTGACATGAATGAATCTGCAATATACATCAACAGCTACCTAATATGGGTGAGTATTTCCACATGAAACATCTATGATAGAAGAAGTATAGAGAAGGTGGTTATACTGCTCTCACATCGCCATTCTCACCACAGCCTATGAAGCGTGTAACAAAACATTGTGAAAAAATGACGATGGTATTCTTTTTATCTATCATGATGGATATTCAAATAGAACATGGTACATTCAAATTTGTCATCTACACAGGTGCTAATAGATCTATCCATTTACTATCATACAAACACAACTACTAATGCAACAGATCAAGACGTGATTTAATTTCTAAACACAACCATGAAATATATTTCGTTAATACTTTTGTAAATAGACTTTGAAATTGTAATTTTGAAATTTGCTTTTTGCATTTCAAAACAACCTGGATTGATTTTGAGGAGGTAACACGAAGAAAACAGTACATATATCTGCATCGTAGACAGTGTATATCTTTATGCAGTTGAAGGGATAAGTTTAATATCACAGATTAGAATACGCGTAAGACACAAAGAAATCACTTGTAGCTTGGTACAAACCCCTAATAAATATTCAAACAATTTAAACTCAACATGTTTACGATTATGAGTCAGCTTGCCGCTCAAAATCATTATGTACATACATGTTATTTACATAAAAGATTCCTTTTTTAAGAGATCAATTATAAGTGTTAGTTAATCAAATATATAAATGTTCTTGAATTTTGTATGCGTTAGATATTTTATATCTGACGTAAATATCTGAAAAGGAAACTTTAAATTGAAATTATACCCGCCAGCATATACTGAAAAGCGTTTAAGTACTGATGAAATTGTTTCATGTTCTAAATGTTGCAGTATAATAATAATCCATATATCTCAATCACAGTATTTCTAAATGAATCAAATCTAAATCAATTAACAGTTCAACAAATAGAAAGAAACCGCTGTCTCGCTTGAATAAATATTTCATATCAAATTAATCCAATTGTACATTAAAAGTTTGTTTTCTACCTAAGAAACATTATCACAAACACCTGAAGCGAAATCACAAGTAACACTTATAATCAAATTCATTAAACGAAATTCAGCATTTTAAAAATCAACAATTATTAGCAATACAAACGTAACTTCATTGGTCTGAATACTACTCATTTCCCTTTCCTTGTCATTCCATATTTTTGATGTTCCCTATTCCATTTATACCGGCCTACAGTATATGTTACCACTGAGTATTGATTTTGGTCGTAGACACATGATCAGTTCTCCCCTTTCTCTGTGGAAACAGCTAGATAACTCTTCCTAACCTAATTTACAACCCTCAACTTGAAATGTGCGTTCTCTTTCTTCCACCGTCATCAAATTTAGCTCAAAATGTAATCAACTCAATCCTGGACCGTGTTGAGGTCCAATCCCATTTTATATTCGGGCATCTGGCCAGAGGGAAAACATTAGCCATTGGGTTATACAGTTGCTCAAAGATATTACCCAGAGCGATTTGGGTAAATTGAATTAGAAAGTGTGATTAGAGCGGCCATGTAAGATGTCCAAAGAAAGCTTGTCTCTCGGAAAATAGACGTTAATAGGAGATACGCAACTACGGCGGCCACCTGATCCCGATAACCGCCATCTTGGATAGTCACGTGATCACATTTTTCATTTGACGAGCATGGTCGATGATGATTTATCATGATGTGGTTTAAAGCATCTTCTTGTCGTACAAATTTGATTTTCTGCAGAGTTGTGTTTGGCCTAATCATATTCTCGGGCATGTTGGCCGACTCTCGTACTGGGATCGTGATTGGATTGGACCAAAATCCATCCCCTTCTTTCATTGCTGTGAATTCCCTGGATTGTTATTGTTCGATGTTTTTGTTGCCAAGCTTCGTTATCCACACTGTTTGCACAAGGACACCATCAATCTCGTATCGTGAACGTATGATTCAGTTACACCTAATGAAATGAACAACCCTCGATTACTATACCGACAGTCACCCAGCCAGATCCTTTTCAACCTGCCATGCTGTTCCTGACATGACCTTGAACCAGTATCCATTACTTGAAATTTAATCTTCCCTTAAGTCCTTCGACCTACAGCGCATGCCAATATTCCTATGACCTACGATGTGGAATAAAATGACAAATGAAATCATCTACTACTTTAGAAATCTCGTTCATTTCCATCAGCCATATAGCGATCTCTCTGTTCCTTCTGAACGAGTTGCTCCTTAGTCTCATACACGGGACTATAAGGAGGGGGTACGGGACCCCCATTGCAGGCAGTGTTCACTTCCCCCTCATATCCATGAGTTGTAGAACCGTAGGTTTGGTATTTCCATGCATTCCCGTCGTCAGTCAGGGTGTGTTCTGGGCGCCAGGTCTCCTCAGCTGGAGGGTCTGCCCAAGGCTGTTTTTCTCCGGAGGCAAAGATTGCGTAGAACACGACTCCGCAGAAGTGTATGATGCTGGCAATCAAGAACACCGTCTGCCATTCCTGAGCCGCCTGCAACAACATACCAACAATTATAAAACCCGTTATAAAAATTTAAAACATAATTCATAATTTCATTTTTGATACTGTAGTATCATTGAAGACGGTGGTGACTTAGGGATTTCAATTTCTTTCTTTCAGTGCTATTGGTAACATCCTTTAGTAAGTTCAAGCATTCACAGTATGAATTTCGAAGTCCAAAAGTTATAACAACGAAAGTTGTGCTATCTATAAAGAGCAATATACTTTTTGAATACTTTTGCCTCTCGGCTGTCGAGAAAATTCTTTTGAACAATTTATCGTCTCGAAGTATTCAAATGCACCAAAACGCTAAACTGATACTCCTTCAAGAAACAACATGTTATTGAAATTGAAACATATCGACCTTAATTATTTTGCACATGTTCATACCGACAACCTGAAAGCAACTATTTCATGTAACTCCCAAATCCTCTGTTTCGTCCCCTGGGAAACTCATCTCATTGATGCGAGACAAATTTCTCGACGTTTTTACACTTTGGATGTTTTAAATTTAATTACGTGGCCATGTTCCGGTAACAGTTGCAGCACATGTGGCCTAATCAAGTTATTGTTCCACTTGTAGTATATCTGAGCTCGTGACAGTGCGCACTGCAGTTTGTATTATTGATATTTTGAACATACCGTTATGTCGAAAAGTTTCTCTGTAGATAACATCATTATCTGATATTTGTACGGTACTGTGCGATGAAAACTCTCGAACCGAATTTGCATCCAACTTAAGCTGGATACTTTTTGTTCTGTTAAATGATTTGTCCCCACTTTGCTGACGAATTACATGTATGTGACTAGAAGTTATGAAAAAATATGGTTGTACCATATTCTACATATAATGTTCCCTTGCTTGAAAGCACACATTTTGTTGTCCACAATTCTTGAATGATTACAATTAAAGGGGGCTAGGCTCGTTCAAACTGGCAGTCCCAGCAAATTAAAATTCATTTCATCCAAAAACTGACAACTGTCAACTCAAATTTGATTAATCAAGATGTATTTTATTTCTGCTGAACGTAAATAGAGAATTTCACCCGTGTGTCTTTGGATATCAAACATATCAACACGAGTTGATAACAGTTTAAGACTCTCATGCTTGCCATATATTTTTTTAAACTTTTATCTATGAAGTGGATATATTTGATGTCTAAAGACACAAGGGTGAGATTCTATTTATCACTCAAATTCATCTTTCCAACTTTTTTTCAGTTTGTAAACAGTAATAACATGTGTCTTGAGTGTAAACAGTACAGCTAACCAGCTTCGGTGGCAGAGAAATTCGTGATGTCATTTGATTGTGACGTCAACCGAAGACATCACAATGACCTGCAAAGCATTGTGATGCAATTTCATTGCGGCAATATCTCCCGTAAACCAGCCTGGAGTGATGAAAGGCTATATCAATGGAACAATATGTCACATAAAGCATCAACGTTTGCCAAAATCGCCCCAAGAAAGAAACAATGCCCTGTTAGTTTCCTGTGGATAGCTTTGCAGTGGTCTCCATAATAGTACAAGGTCAGATCACGTTCCCCTATTTACATTGGTGGACTGAGGCTGATTGGTGTTTGAACACACCACAGAATCCCAGTTTGAGCAAACAGAGGAACTGTCGATCTGGTCTGACGTACCTCTGCAGGAGACTTGTCCTGGCCCTTTGTGACGTACTGCACGACAATCGGGCACAACATCCCCGATAGCGTCCCCACGCTGTTGGAGAGCCCCATCAAGATACTGGCGTACCGCGGGGCAATGTCAAGGTGGTTCACGTTGAAACCTGAAAATGAACATATTCAGTTAACTTCAGATAAGCCAGTGTATACATATATACTGCACGAAAAAGGAAGGGATCATGAATATTTGGAGGGTTCCAGATTCCACTGGGCGTAGAGGGCACAAACATTTGTGGACATATCACGAATGGATCACATTAAAGAAAGTAAAGGAATCCGACGTATTGGTCAACAACAGAGTTGGAAAACATTCCAAAACGCGTGTTTCAATCCACATGACGGTAGAATATGTCAAACATGGCAATTGTGGATGCAAGAAGTAAGAGGGCAGTTGTACTCTTGGTCGGGAGTCTAGATGGAATAATCCTTGGATATACAGTAAACTACGGTTATAACGAACACGCTTATAACGAACTAACGGATATAACGAACTAACTTTTTAGTTCCGACTATTTGCTGTAGTTATACTGTATATGTGCTTATAACGAATTACGGTTATAACGAACTAAAATTAGTAGTCCCTTTGAGTTCGTTATAACTGTAGTTTACTAAGAGACCCAAGTAGGTAATTCATACCACTGTATTGTTATATAATCCATGACCACCATTGCATTATTGGTTTTGAAGGGTGACCAGAACTATTTGCTTCTACTACTGCCGGGGATTACTGGTACCCCATGCTTGTCCTAAAAGCTGACTAAATTAGGTATTGAGTGGTGTTGGATGATTAATATATGCTTTCAGACTTGATTCATAAACACTTGCTTATGATATCGCCCGGATCGTACAATTTCCTACTATTATGGAAAAGGTTTTGTCACTTTTATTCACTATGACCAAAACAAGTAAAGTAATGAAAACAAATTTCAATCTCTGCATTATTACCCAGCGTATCCTTTCCAACTTCTGCATCTATTCCTTTACTGGGCCCCGTTCCACAAAGCGATCTTAGCGCTAAGGTGATCGTAAGTCCCATACTTTAACATAGGCTTACGATCATTGTAGCGCTAAGATCGCTTTGTGGAACGGGGCCCTGATCTTTATCTACTGACCAAGTGCAGCCACCACAGACACCTCTCCTTCAGTGGACAATGCACAAAAAGGCGCTACCTCTTGCGTGTTGTTAATTAGACATGGAAATCGCTGTTGTGAGTTTGCGTGACATATTACACACTTGGAGGCGACTATGCTTGTCGTAAGAGGCGACTAATGGGGGTCAGGTTCGCTGACTTGGTTGATGCATGTCATCGATCCCAATTGCGTGGATCGATGCTCATGATATCAATCACTGGATTGTCTGGTCCAGACTCGATTATTGACAGACCGCCGTCCTATAGCTGGAATATTGTGGAGTGCGGCGTTAAACAACCAACCAACCAACCAACCAAACACACTTGGGACAGCACACAAACAGATACAAATTAGTAGTCACTTAAAACAGAAGTCTAAAAAGACCGTCCACTCATTGGTGTAAAATACCCATTAGACTAAACCCAATGAATATAGAAAAACTATCAATACCCTATACAATTGATAACTTGTGAGTAATACCCAATGGCTAAAATAATTATATATAGCCCTGATATATATTATACATAGGAATAAGGAATACAACTACATTTATAGAATATCTGATGAGGAAACATGACGATTTAGCTTTAGAAGTCTTCATATACCACGAAATACAGAATTGCAAAGCTATTTAAATAATGGTGTGCGTCATTATAATATATCGTGGTGATATCCGTCCACATTCAATGGTAATATTAAACAGAGCATCTTTTCTAAGTCTTATATGTTATCTACAGTGTTATCCCGACACTATTTTAGTTAGTGCCAGAGCATTGGAGTTAGACTACAATGAAGAATTTGAAACTGAACACAAAGACCACGTATATTCATCCATACTTTATAATCTCGCATACGTTGTAAAATATTAATATTTGTCGAAAGCAGATACGTCTATATCATGGTTATGCGTTCCTAGGTATGACTCACGTGGAAGAGTGTTGAACAATGACGTATTAAAAGTCATGTACATCCGGTTAGTAAGAAGACGAAATTAGTATGCATGACTTAGTGCACGTTTACCAAATACATTCTTTGAAATCGTCCACTTGATGTTATGGGGCCGAGTTTTGAATCGCTCGTTTTTTAGCGACTGGGTTACGTTGAGAATCTCACCCGAGTCTCTTTTGATGTCAAATATATCAACACGAGTTGATAAAAGTGGAAACATTCCGAGGCTTGCCGAGGATTTTTGCCACTTTTATCAACGAGTGTTGATATATTTGATATCAAAAGACACGAGGGTGAGATTTTATTTATCATCCAACACCATTCTTCCAACTTTTTCAATTTGTAGACAGTAATTAGCAGTGTCTTCAGTGTAAAAAGTACTGCTAACAGCTTCAGTAGCAGCGCCATTAGTGATGTCATTTGATTGTGACGTCATGGTAACCAGTGACGTCACAATGGTCTGCAAAGCATTGTGATGTCATTTCATTGCAGCGATATCTACAGTGTAGATATCGCTTGATCTAATCCAAGCTATATTTCCTGTCGGAGCCAGTTTAGGATGATAAAATGGGTTAATGGCGCTTACTGTTATTATCCTCACTAAACCTGGTACAGTTATCAAAGCGGTGAGAAACTCACTCACTCACGGCGAATGGTCTTCACAATTTGTGTCCATTTCAGGTGCAAAGAAAAACGTGTAAAACTAGAGAACGCTCTGTCCTCTGGGTTTAGCCTATCTTCAATTTTCTCTGGACAAAGACATAGCATTATTGGATTTTATAATACGTCAATAATGTCAGTTTTCATTTGACCCGTTTCTGACCGAAAACTGGAGCATTGACATTTTCCAATAGCTCTAGGTTATGTCAATACAGATTCATGTGATCAGTGAAAATCGATAACTCACTGGTGTTGTAACCAATACACGAACAATCAACAATCTGTTCAGAACACAGGCACAGATTTCCGCTTGAAATGTACATGCATGTCACGACCAAATGATTGACATCCTCATCATTATTTCAATTGCTATATGTATGAACGTCTGTGAAATGTTGCCTACTTTGGGTAATCATACCCTTTCAGTGCAATGTCATGGAACACCAGTCATGCAGGGCAATACAACTGTGTCGTCAATCTATTAACCCTTAATGTGTTAATCTTTAGTGTCTGTATCAGAGACAATAGCAAAATCGAACATTCGATCATGGTATTTGCCTGTAATTATCAAAGCAAAGCTCCCTGATATCGACAAGCGTAAAATCAATTGCCGAGACTCTAAGTGGTTTTGGTGTAGAATGTACAGATTAATGTTGTTGATAGCAGCTGTTGATTGCAGCAGAGCTTGTAGATTGCAGTTATCTCACGCAGGATAAGATGCCTGGATAAAGACGCATTTCATCAACATGAAATTGAGTGCAGACTTAGTATTTGTTCAGTGAAATAGATCCAGCGCCATAAGAGGTCATTGACAGTTGCTGATTTCGACATCACATGCAACAGGGACACGTGCTCTAACATTAGTTTTCTTACAAAACAAGAGGAGTGTTTCTTGTGTTACTGTAGACACAAAGAAAACGTGTAATTTACATGTCAATAACATCGGAACAAGCAATTGCAACATAATCAGGCTATTCTAACAGCCAGGTAGTTAACGCGCATATGTTTGCATAAAAGAAATCAAGGAAATGATTTATTTCTTTTCATGCAAATGTAATTAGGCCTTTAATGCATCATAGGTCTTCGCCTGAGGGCGATTAATTCAGTTTTTCCCCGCGTTCTACCCTCTCTCGGTTTCTACAAACACAGATAGATGTCGTTTTGGCGTTAGTAAGTACAATAACATGGTTACAATTATTTCTGTTCAAAAATAAAAATAATCCTTGAAATCAATATTCTTATAAACTAGAAGTCTAACTTTTTTTAGCCAACAGGAAACCTTACAATCGTATGGAAGAAATGTCAAGCCACTACTACTACTACTACTACTACTACTACTACTACTACTTCTAACTAACCAGCAGGGGGCACGGGGGGCCCAGTCGTCTAGGGCGCCGCGATTCGCTGTGCAGAGTTGCGTCCCTTGGGCATGCCAGAAACCTATGATTATTGGTTCGAATCCCGGTTTGCCCCGATTATGTCTCTCGGTTTGTCAGCACCATACCCGTGCTCGTGGGTTTCACCGAAGTAGTAAACGTCTGAGACCTGCATCACTTTGGGCTTTCCTCCCACATTAAGCTGACGCGATATAACTGGAATACTGTTAAAAGCGGCGTTAAACCCAACTCACTCACTCACTCACTAACCAGCAACATAAACATAAACATCGTATGGCAGAAATGCCAAAGAGTTCGTTTAATATCGTGGTTCTTTTCGACACAAGGTTTTGGACAATGTTAAGCTAGTTGATGGATTATGACGAACACACTTCTTATCAATCATGTGAAGTTTCAAACAAGATTTTTATTCGAAATAAATCTCTAATTTCCACATGTTATCCCCGCACCTAAACACCGTGGATTATTGGTTATTTTCAAGCCTCGCTTAATTCATTTCAAGATTTGGAAGGATTTGGAAAGCTTTTTGAATGATAACAGGCTGTGTTTTTTAACTAATGGAATATTTCATACATCGGTGCGTTGATGATGGAGCAAAAACATGTACTAGGAAAGTAATATTCAACCAAAATTACATGTATCGAATGATACTGATTATTAATAGTCAAGCCCTGCCTTCTTGTGTCTCAACGTTTGCAGCTGTAGTAAATGCGAAGAGCAACTATATCTTCCTTGAAGCGGTGGCACTGCCAATTTGAAAGCAGTCAAGCATTAAATAGGCCTTGTCTCATCTGAGCTTCCATCCCTATTCTTGGTTGTCGTTGGTCAAACGAGCCTAAAAACAGTGACAGGGAGCGGACTAACCCTAGAGTTTAGACAAAACCTGATAACTGTCTTTTTATTTCTGCAAAAGAATCAATTTTAGGCGGAGTAGATGACCCTCCTCCTCTGATCGCATTTTATGATGAATTAAACTTGCTGAAGCAATAAACATCACATTTTGCCGCACTCCCGGAGCACTGGGTAATCTGCTCTGCCAGAGAATCATAAAATCTCACTAATCATCATCAATTTCTCACCAGACATGCAAAATATATCACCCATCCACACGTGCTACGCATTGATTTATAATTGCCCGGGATATGAACATATATTGAGCCTGTACTGCTTTGGCCACCTTGCCGTACGCCACTTTATTGGTTAATAAGTGTGATTGAGTGAAACAAAGCTTGTGAGGACTGTTCTTCATCTGCGTGGAAACGTTTATGGTTTGTTCACAAAAGAGTTCCCCTTCTTTATTGTTTCTTCGATTGAAACGTGTTTTACATGCCAATAGGCATCTAATTGAAAATAGCCACATAATACACTGGGTTGTCAGGATTTGGGATGTATGTTTGTAATTAGAAATAAATTTGTCAATAGGAATGGGTATTTTAGTAGCTTCCTCGCAGTTTCAGGTCTCATAATGTCTCTTTACATAAGGCATTTATCGTTTAATGAATTATTGATAACTGTAAAAAAACAGTTATATAAGCTTTACGGCAATGCGAAATGGGACAAATTAGGAATATATATTCGAATGTTATTCGATTGTACAGGGGTGAACATAAAGATATGCAATTATCAAAATTGTTAAACATAACTATATATGTAACAACTTTGCTGACGAATTTCACATTGTACATTACCTGAAATAAATGCCAGTAAACGTGTCTATTGTATATTTAATTTAACAACATGCAGATCAAAGTGTCCATTTTGTATTTCAGTTAAAAAACATGGCGGTGAATGCGTCCATTGTTTATTTTATTTAACAAGATGCAGGAGAAATTGTCCATGGTATATTTCAGTAAAACATACCACTGAGAGTGTGAATTGTATATTTCATTGAAAAACATGCCGCTGAAACTGTCTATTGTACATTTCATTTAAAAACATACCGATGAAAGTGCCCATTATATATTGCATTTAAAGACATGCTGGTGAAAGTGTCCATTGTATATTTCCTTTAAAATCATACCGATGAAAGTGTCCATTGTATATTGCATTTAAAGAAATACCGGTGAACGTGTCAATTGTATATTTCATATAAAAACATGCCGTTGAAAATGTCCATTGTATATTTCATTTACAAACACGCCGATGAAAGTGTCCATTGTATATTTCATTTGAAAATGCTGAAAAACATTCATTGCATATTTCCTTCAAAACCCATTTGGATGAAAGTAACCCTTATAATATATTCAAAGAACATGTTTGCAAAAGTCGGCATTGTATATTTCATTTAAAACCATGCCAGTGATAGTGGCATGCTGAGAGCTAGTCACACGTAGCTGGAATGGAGTGCGATTACCACGGAGCAATTCAGGTTATTGTTCCAAAGTTGTCAAGATCGGAATAGAAAGCCTCAGATTACTATTGACATCCTCAATATGGAGAAAATGACGGTTTCGCACTTTTCATTGTTTGCCCAAGAGTAACCTATAGAGTGTAGCTGACTTCTGACAACTCTAATCGATGTCTGTTCGTGGGAAATATCTCCATCACGAACCTTGAGGCGGTTGAGGTTCCAACCAACGTGATCATATCGTTTAGATATGATCGCGTATCAAACAAAGGTGTCTAGCTGATCTGGGCAGTCTTCTGTAGTTTAAGTACGTTTTAGCTATATGATGGCTGCTTGACATTTTACACTATACGTTATGTGTTTGATTTAGGATACACCAGTCGAGACGGCACATGAGCGGTTGAAATAGCCGCAGACAACGGATTAGTAGAAATATCTCTAAAACCAGACAATCTATGGAACTTCTACCGTTTCAAATATCAATACATTTTTCAATTATTAAAACCATAGACTTAATACCTATTATCAACTCTATATTGACCAAACGGTAACTGCTGTTTGATTTGAGATATGTATGATGGACTTTTGTGTTTGTTTTTGGTTATTTAACCCGGCTTGGACAATTGTATAGTTAGGTATACCTTTTAATGTGTATGAGTTATTCTAATCGATGACGATTCACTATGATGGACAACAAAACTCCAAATAAACTCATCCAACATGTAAAATCCTACTTATCATTCACCTTGACATATCCTTCCTGTATGAACCATTTTCAAAGCCAAATCCGTTCCTTGACCTTTGGTATCATGGCGCGATACTTTACGTTTAATTTAGTATCAAAATATAACCTTTATACATCAATAATAGTAGGCTGGTCCGTATTCATGTATATTGACGTGCCCCAGTTTCCTCACACTTCTATTGTTCCGATTGACAAACATTATCCACCAACTAGAAGAGGATACGTACATTCTCAAGAACATTATATAGTCAGTCTTCGTCCTTTTACATCATATCCGGATGTGTAGTCTCATCCTCCGGCACAAGACAGCAATATATCAGGAAGCTGTTTATCAAGGGCTGATGGCGTGGCCTGCCTCTTATCGTATATTTCAATAAACCTTTTATCGGCCGTCAGCGAGCCCGATTCTTTCCCTATTGATCACTAATACCTTCAACCAACACTGAGGGCAGGGCTTTATCTGCTCCCCGTCTCATCATCCCTAGCCACAAAGAAATCCTCTGACGTCCCTCATATTCTGTAGTCTGGTGGACAAAAAGGGTTTTATGTCCAGATTAACGGGTAATAGTGTTAAAACCTTCGCAGTAGCAAATATTTGCGGAAAATCGTTCTGGCAATCAGTCCAAATGAAACGGTTTTCACTTAAAAGGGTAGAGTGGAGGGATTAATCTGGCATTTCAACGAGAGGGGCCAGCTTTTCCGGAAAATACCATCAAATCATGATTATGAAAATTCTAACCCTGTCCCCCAAGCCCTTATCTCCAATTGATTTGCTAATGAAACGCAGATTTTGCCAAAAGTGGACTCTTTCAAGGAGGCAAACTTCAGAAAAAACTTTTTAACTTTGATGAAGATTGTAAAAGGGTGTTTTTTCATTAAATTGAGTGTGTAGATGATGGAATGTTTAGACATTACTCAAGCTACTGCGTCACCCACACACTCGACCTGCCTCTAAGATTCTTATCCACACAGAGCATATAGAACATTCAGATTCTGTAGACTGATGGGCCACTGGCATCATTAAAATGCAGTTTGGCTTTTCTGTTCAAAAAGGCTTCACATAAATGAGTATCTTCGGACTTTCCAATGCATTTTATGAAATAGAACCATCAAATATTTTCCCTTCTTATCAGTATTTGCCAAATAAGATCCCTTTTTGTATAAATTACGGTACTGTGCTAATTCTAATTCTGAACTCTTTAAACGCATGGCATTCCAAGTATTGTGAACAAAGGGATTGCGTTTCTTTGAAGTGATGTCACGGTGGTGTTATCAAAGTGACAACACACACTGTGTGTTATCCACATAGGTTTTTTCTTCCACTGGAAACCGATTTCCAGATCGACGGCGTGTGCAAGGAAAGGATTCGATGTAATGTAAACCAAGAGATACTCTTTGTTGAATTCATTGCAAATAAAACCTTACCGGAAATGGCAAATCCACTGAATCCGACGGCTAAAGTGAGGCAGACTACTGAAGTGGCAGTGTCACGGGTGAAGCCAACGCCCAATAGGAACACAGCCTCCATCCCGAATCCTGAAACAGACGACAACGGAATGGCGATGAAACATCAAAGTGTTGTGATGTAATCTCAAGTGACTAATTTTACAACACTGGAATTCATATGACTTCCCTATGAATTAGAAATATCGTAAATCTTATGCAAGAAGTTGAATGAAGGCCTTTCATCTCAACACATATGGGGTTAAAAGAGTTTTGGTTCTCACAAAACTAACAGCACACGTCATAAATAAATATGGCATCATATTGCTAAGAACCATTTTTTCAAGCATTGTATTTTGATACTTCTCAGATCTGCTTGAAACGCATCAAAATAATATTTGCACAAAGATGATATATAAAGTTTGTGACAATCAAGTTCTTTTTACGGAGTCGGGTTTGTGTGGCAGTAGAGCGTTAGACATTAATGACGGAAATTTGTCGGTCATCTGTTTTTCAGTACACAAGTTATCAGTAGTAATTTACTGCGGATAATACATTCCCTTAAAAAAGTGACACACATTAATATTCTGTTTCGAGATTCAATTTTCGTGTACAGTGAAGAATCTATTTGCAACTCCAAGTTTTTGTGTGGCAGTGTATGATTTCGGACATCAATCATGAAAGCATATGGCTGTGTGTCGATGTAATTTAGCATTCAGTGTATAGAGCGGCAACACAGCGGCGTTGGTGTCAGGGAGGTTGATAACGGTTATCGCAAGCTACTCACGAGGATTAGGTAGCCACGGGGGTCACTTATAATAGTGGACGGATTGGCAGACAGATAAACGCACAAGGAAGGGGTAATTTATGTTGCAGTCTGATATTTTGGGGCAGATGAAGGTTGAATCTGACGAGAAGCATCCGGGAGCCCGACAGCCAACTTGCGACTATTTGTGAGTTGACTGATTCCAGAGCTTACGTGGAAATTATATGTTTGTATATCCAGTGAATATTTTCCAAGAAAGAAGTATCCAGGAGAAGACTACAACAAACTGATATTTATTCATCGGAACTGACGAAACCTCCTGACTAAAAATATATTTTTGTTTTTATGGGGTGTGGATTCTATTTCAAGCTTCAAATGATCATATTAAGCTTCTAAACTATCAAGTTCGACAGAGAGAAAAGGGTTCTGTGAACCTACATTTTTATATCTATCAACTGGTATGCATAGTTAAATATAGTTCTAAACAAAGGATGCATAAGCAAGGAGAAACATTTTGACGTTTTTATGAGTCATCTTTAATATTCCACAAAAATATTCTAAAATATTGCAGACTTCCCTATTATGATCCTTTATCTGCCAGCCCTGTAACCATATACGTCGTGCCAAATACGTGGTCCCAAAGACATGGTCCCATATATGTGATCCCATATACGTTGTCCCAAATACGTGGACCCAAATACACGGTCCCATATGCGTGGTTCCATGTCTGTGATTCCATATATATACGTGGTCCCAAACTCGTGGTCCAATATATGTGATCCCATATATACATGGTCCCAAATACGTGGTCCCATATACGCGGTCCAATATGCGTGGTCCCATATATGTGATCCCATATACGAGGTCCCAAATACAGGAGGCCCCATATGCGTGGTTCCATGTCTGTGATCCCATATCTGTGATCCCATATACGTGGTCCCAAATACTTGGTCCGATATACGTGGTCCCATATATGTGATCCCATATTTACAGACCGCCGTCATATAGCTGGAATATTGCTGAGTGCGGCGTTAAACAAGAAACCAACCAACCAACCATATACGTGGTCCCAAATACGTGGTCCCATATACGCGGTCCCATATGCGTCGTCCCATATATGTGATCCCATATACGTGGTCCCACATGCGTGGTCCCATATACGTGGTCCCATATACGCCTCCCATATATTTGATCCAATATACGTGGTCCCAAATACGTGGGCGAGACGTTGGCTGCCTTAAATTCAACTTTTAAAAAAAACCCCAGCTCTTATCGTCGTATTGACCCTAAAAACAAACAGCATCAGTTTTGTTGGTAAATTAGACTAAACACCAGAACGACCGTGAGAGTTGAAAAACAATCCTGGCATGATGTGATGCTTATGCTCCCAAACCGTCGTTGTTTCGATTAAAGTTATGAATTATTTTACGATTGCTGTGTTTTCTTTCTGAAATTCTCTTTGGGGAAGTCAACATTATCACAATTATTTTTTAAGAGGTGATTTAAGTATATTAACCCTTCAACTGCTCCCTGCGCTAATCATCATAATGCCATGTCAGGAGAGATGTCACTGAGTTCAGATACCAGGTCACCAGTATTGCAGCGTCCATAAACACAATCATCCTGGCTACCACAAAGGGACATGTTGATAGTGTCACAGTACATACAACAAATCGATTCGTAATTAATTCCCCGTGTTCTTGTGTTGGTAAGGTAAACACGGACATTAATAGAAACTAATCAGATTATCCCTATACTAATTTACATGGCCTTTCTTTTCCTGTATCGCTTGGCCTGAAGCTGACACAATCTGAGGTGTATTCCCAGACCTCGTGGTCGTCCCTGTCCCTTACAAATTGTATTTAAACAAACCGCAGCAATATGAAGTGATTGGCTTCAGGTACTCCCAATTACCTGTCCGGGATTACTGCAGAATCAAGGTTGGTTGGTACCTTGGGACCGAACATTTCACATTTCCCTTAAACGAGTAATTAAATAATTTGTTTAACCCACGTGGTACCCAGTTTATCAAGTGCACAATGTCCCTTTTTATAATTTTCTTTAAAAATGTTTGTTTTGGGGAAAAGGGTAATTTAAAGCAACTCCAGATTAAACTATCCAATGATTGAACCTTATTTATCCTGAATTAAAATAATCCTGCTTAAAAATACTGCAGGAATAAATAAATTCTGCCAGTTATTTCTGCCGAAAAAAAATCTGCCAGAAATTTCTGTAGAAAAAAGAATACTGCCAGAAATTTCTGCAGAAAAAAAATTCTGCCAGAAATATCTGCAGTAATGCATTTTCTGAGCCAATTTTTGAGCTTGTAAACATGTGTACACACTGGGACACACATTATTTGGATTCGTCTCCTCGAGATCTTTGCAATGATATAAAACATGTTTTTGTAGCTCGCTTCCTTCTGTGTGGTCAAGTTCGGACGCCTGGCAATTCCGAAGTTGTCCCGACCTGCCTTTTTTCATCTTTCTTATAATTTCTTGTTATCCATGATGCCTCCTGTTTCCCGACTCCTGCCCTCAGAATATCAAATGGTCGGTTCGGGGTTGGGGTAAGCTCTCGGGAGGGACATTTAATTGTTGAGTAACAGACACATAAATTGTTATGCAACTTGTGTGAGTGGTGGGTGCTCTTGGGAGGGCAGGACATGCTCACCCTGTTCGCGAAGACCTTGTGTCATCTCTGATTTTCAGACCTGTGAAGTTCCTGGGTAGAAAAGGTCTTCAGCAATCCATGTTTGCCGTAAAAGGCGACTATGCCTGACGTAAGAGACGACTAAAGGGAGCGGATGAAAAAGTGAACGTATCCTGCCCTACCGGTGGCACCCGTCACAAACACATACAAAGGCAAGTCAATAGAACACATTCTATTCAAGTTACAAGCTGGGGAGTCACTAGTTTCAATGGTTTTGTTGACCCACGAAGATCCGGGGTAGAATAGGTCTTCCACAACCCGTCCTTGCCGTAAAAGGCGACTATGCTTGTCGTAAGAGGCGACTAACGGGATCGGGTAATCAGGCTCGCTGACTTGGGTGATAGATGCTCATGATGTCAATCACTGGATTGTCTGGCCCAGACTCGATTATTTACAGACCGTCGACAAATAGCTGGAATAATGCTGAGTTCGGTGTTAAACACCAAACAAACTCTTCAGAGATCCAGTCATATTATTGTAACCACTCTTTTGCCTCTTACACCAATAGAATTTGTTTCGTCGGAAAATCTCTGGCGTTGACGTTTTATGTTTACATTTTCTAGTTCAATTTTGCGATCCCGGGATTTATTATGTGAACAGTACCATATAAATATGACAGTGGATGTTTGCATATATGGTTGGGCGACAATTAACTGTTATAGAATGACGGGGATACTTTACAAAGACACGCTTATGGAAGCAATTCACTGAGCAATTCTTAGCCCCTGCAAACCATATGCTTGGGTGTCGGAAAGTACCCATCGTGACATAGAAAAGAATTTGGATCCCATCCAACGAGTACCGACTACACAACGTTTTGTCGTATGGACCTATTAATTATACTACTCAAAAGAAGTTAAAGAACACTCGTTTTTTTTCATCTAGCTATAGCTAATCCATCATGCCATGACAGATAAATTATAGTCACATGAAAATATCGGGTGTTCTTTACCTTATTTGAGCAGTCGGAGATCAGATGGATTCGTTAGTTTACCTGTGTTTGGTCGTATCGTTAAGTTGTTCATGCCATCAGCCACTTGTTTGTTTGTTAGAATCGGTTATTTGAAGATCGTCGTACAGAGCTATATTACATTGCTGATTGCCCCAATAAACAATATTCACTTACTACGAAATGTATTAGCATATGTTAAGAAGATCGAATTCCAAAACAGGAGCGCTTGATAACAAGAAGTTGATGGAGAACAGCAACAAAATAATAACATATGAATACTTTCCTATGTTTCAGAGATACGATAAATTATCTATTTGGATTACAATTGTCAAAGTGCGATTCAACCCACAAGGAACCACCGTTCCCATAGTAACGAATGGTGTTTTTTAAAAAGAAATGACGTCATAGTCTCTATTTGAAAAAATGTAATTATGTTTTTTTTCTGTTTTGTAATAATTTGTACTTAAAAAGCTTTTTTTTGCTTATACATGTGTGACAATATACAATTTAAGTCACTTACAATTTTAATTCGCTATGCAAAGCCATTACATGTTTGAATGAAAGGAATAAACTGGCAAATAACCCCATTCCACTAATGCTGTTTTCTGGGAAGATAATTACGTCATTACAATTTCCTCAGCACCCTACTTCTCAAATTAGCCA